ACTTCCCAGAGACTCATACTCCAACCAAGGACTATTCATGGAGATAACCTAGAACCCTGACAATGCAGCCACTTCTGATGAGAACTGATAGACTAAGATCAGAAAGAAGGAGAGGAGGACCTCCCCAATCAGTGGACATGGGGAGGGGCATGCATGCAGAAAGGAGGGGGGAAGGTGGGACCAGGAGGGGAGGAGGGAGGGGCTTATGGGGGGATACAAAATGAATAAAGCGTAATTAATAAAAGTTAAATTAAAAAAAATAAATAAAAAGCTAAAAAAAAAAAGAAAAAATACATAAATTGTAGGGGAAGAAGGATCAGAGTAACCAGAAAGGTCAGGGACACCATGAGACCTGACCCACAGAATCAACTGGCTGGCATCACGGGAACTTGGCAGAGATCAGGGAGCCTGTAGGGGTCTGACCTAGGTCCTCTGCACATATGTTATGGCTGAGTAGCTTGATGTTCTTGTGGGGATTCCTAACATGGAGCGTGGGGTTGTCACTGACTCTTTTGCCTCCTTGTGGGACTCTTTTCCTCCTACTGGGTTGCCTCATCCAGCCTTAATGTTATTTGCCTGGTCTTACTGTAGTTTGTTATGCCATGTTTGATTAATATCCCTGGGAGGCCTGCTCTTTTCTGAAGGGGGGTGGAAAAGGGTGGATCTGGGAGAGAGGGAAGGTGAAGGGGAGAGAGGAGGACAAAGGGAAACTGCTGTCAGGAATCTGAATATATAAAAGAAGAATTTTTAAAAATGAAAACAAACAAAAAAATACTAATTGTGTGAAATTGGCTCTGCCTCCACAAATCAGTGCGACAGACTAGAAAGACCAAAAAAACTTCTCACACAACAAAAATAATGTTGCAAATAAAGGCATTTAGTAGGAAAGGATAAACTTTTCAATAAAATGTGATAGGACAATTAATTGGCTTTGCATATGGAAAAAAATGAAACTGGATCACTATCAGTGGTTTCAAACTAAATCTTTACATCCAGGTCAAAAGTTTAAATTTACCATTTGTGGTGGTATTTACCTGTAATCTCAGGTTAAGCAGAAGGAGTAGGAGTTCAAAAACACTCTCAACTACATAGCGAGTTCAAGGCCAGCCTGGGCTACATGGGACCATGTGAAAAAAGGAAGGAAGGTGAAAAAGAACATGTGAGGCATCATTCATACCACCGGATGAATACATGCTCAGAAATTCAACCTCACTAAGTGAGGTAAGAAGGAAGCTTTAGCAGGTGGGTCTGCCAGCAAAGGGAGAGCAACACCAACCCACCCATAAGACGTTCGACCCAAAATTTGTCTTGCCTACAGGAAATGTAGGGGTAAAGATGGAACAGAGATTGAGGAAATGGCAGACCAATGACTGGCCCAGCTTGAAACCCATCCCATGGGAGAGAGCCAACTCTTGTCACTATTAATGATACTCTGCTACATTTGCAGACAGGAGCCCAGCATAATTGTCTTTTAGGAGGCTTCATCCAGCAGCTGATTGAAACAGATGCAGCGCCCCAGAGCCAAACCCTATGCTGAGTGCTGGGAGTTGTATGGAAGAGTGGAAGGAAGGATTGAGGGAGCCGGAGGGGTCAAGGACACCACAAGAAGACCTACAGAGTAAGCTAACCTGGGTCCATAGGGGCTCACAGAGACTGAACCCAACAACCAAAGAGCTGGCATAGGGCCAGACCTAGAACACGACACATATGTAGCACGTGTGCAGCTTGGTCATCATGTGGGCCCCCTCACAACAGGAGTAGGGGCTGTCTCTGACTCTGTGGCCTGCCTTTGGATCCCCCTTCCCTGTCTGGGCTACCTAGTCTGGCCTCAGTGGGAGAAGATACACTTAGTCCTGCTGTGATCTGAGGGGCCAGGGTGGGTTGGTATCTCTTAGGGGCTTCCTCTTCTCTGAGAAGGAGAGGGGAGGATAGAGGGAGGGGGCATGCTGAGGGCTGGACTGAAAGGAGAGGACGAAGGGGGGCTGGGATCAGACTGTAACGTGATTAAGTAGATGAAATTTAAAAAGAGAGTTTTACAACACTTAGTAACTACTCACACAATATTAAGGGAAGTACTTAAGAAGTTTGTGGTGGTGGCGCACGCCTTTAGTTCCAGTGCTTGGGAGGCAGAGGCAGGCAGATCTCTGGGTTTGAGGCCAGCCAGGTCTATAGAGCAAGTTCCAGGACAGCCAAGGCTACATAGAAAATCCCTGTCTCAAACAGCAAAAACAAACAAACTTATTTAATAAAGAAATTTGGGCCAGGCATAATGGCATGTGCCTTTTGCTCCCAATACTTGAGGGGCAGAGGGAAGCAATCTCTGTGAAATCAAGCTAGCTCTCCAACAACAACAACAAAAAGGCAATTATTTCATTTTATTCTTAATTCTTAAAATGACTTTACCAAAGCAAAGTTTGCACTTCTAACTTCACTCATAAATTAACGAAAGTTGTAGACACAAGTATCTGACGATAGAAAAAGTAGTTTATGGGTGTGTATGTTTCTGTGTAATTTCAATTAAGTGTGTTTGTCTGTGTGTGTGCATGTGGGTGTGTGTTCAGTGTGTATGATGACTTGAAGTTACATATTAGTAATTATGTAGTGTGTGTCACCAGGGGGTGGTGGCAGTGCAGGCTTTAATCCCAGCAATCACAGAGGCAGGTGGTAATCAGAGATTGTGAGTTCCAGGCTGGACGGAGCAACATAATTTATTTTTTTTTAACTCTGTTTAAACACAAACACACACACACATATATAGTGCATACTTCAGAATTACTAAGAGATTTTAAATGTTTTCACCACAAAAATAATTTGACTGTGAGGTGATAAGTAGGCTAACTAGCTTGTAACAAGCCCCAGACCTTCTCTCAAAGCCTTTGCATGCCTGCTGTACACATAAACGAACAAACTTGCTTACAGACCTGTACACAAACAAACAATTGAATAACAAAGAGAATGAAAAAATAAGGTAAAATCTTGTGAATAGGGAGTGTGTGGTGACTATTCTTGATGGCTAACTTGACTACATCTGGAATTAGCAAAAGCCCAAGGGCTCCAGCACACCTGTGAGGGATTTCTCTTAATTGAATCATGTAAAGTGGAAAGATCCACGTTCAAAATACAAGTGAGCTCAGGCCTACAGAGTAAGTACAGCAGACACCAGACTGACCTAGTGATCCTGTTAGATATAATGTAAACAAACAAACAAATAAGCAAAAGAAGGGCCTAGGCTGTGTTCCCGAGCTATGGTGCTTCTCTAGGGTGGATGAGGATTAGCTCTAAGAAGGGACTGGAGAAAGGAAGGAGAGAGAGGCATAAATATTAAAAATGGTTCCGGGTCTCAGGGATAAATATAACAAGATTATTGAAGTGCTCAAAAATGCCAATAGCAATTAATCAGGTCTGTGCTTAATTATGTTTCAAACACAAATAAAATATATTTAATTTTGAAGTTTTTTTTAACGTGTGATGACATGTGAAGATAACTAATTTTCTAAGACATGATTTTATGAGGATGAAAATTTAAATTATAATCATGATCAGGAGGGTTTGCTGAACATGGCAAATGCAGGGTCCCAATACAAATAGTTCTCAGTTCTTTCTCACACAGTTCCAAGCCCTCATCTGATGGCAAACAAGTAATTAAAGGCTGGGTGTGGCACGGATGCTTTAAAATGTAGAAGAGAATAGTGAATAACCTGCCAAACTGTGTGTTACTGCAGAATGTGGAGAATTGACAGAAGGGGGTGATTGGGGAATATTCCCCAATGGTAGTAGCTCTGGTGATAATTATCCAGATTACCAAAGGATGCAGATAGACATTTAAAAGATAGGGATAAAACTTTATCAATAGCTGAAGACTTAAAAAAACATAAAAAATGGGGTTTTTTTTCAAGCCTCAGAAATGGGAGATGGCTATTTTAAAAATATGCAAAGGTTTTAAAGATACAGGACAGTTCAAAGGCTGTTATTGGGAAAGTAGACACATCTAGACTGCTACCTAGAGTCTTAGGTTGTGAGCTGAATATTGGTGCTTGTGAACTGAACAGGCAAGATTGGCAGGGAGCAACTGACTGTACTTTCCAGGCTCTTAGAATGGATGCCTCAAATACCAAAGCACTATACTGAGAAGTGCAAGGATGGCAAGGATTCAAGGAATATGGTCAAGCATTGTTTGGTCCAGAAGGCACAAGAGATAGCCCCAGGAGATAAAGCTATCCAGGCAGAACTGTTGAAAGTCAAACAAATGATAAAGGCACAGAAAGAAAACAAGAAGTCACTGAATGCAAAAATGTTTGCCTAATACGGACCCAACTCTTCTTAAATATCATACCTTGATATATAAAGGATAATGTAAGTTGCTGTCTGATCCTAGATGTTTCCCTGGATTCTTTGTCATCATTGTTTACATAGAAGTGCTGATATAGGTTCGTAACACATAATATATGTTATGAAATACAAAATAAACAAGTCACATAAAAATTAAGTTACTGGCTTTAAATACCACGATTGACCTCTGGAAACAACTGAAGTTTCATTTTGTTAACCTGCATTTCCATTTTCTTTTGCCAATGAAGAAAATTTCTAGGTGGTCATGGTATAAAGAGGTCAAGAGAATGTGGCAGGGGGTAAGAAAATAGTTTTCCTGTGTGTGTGGTGCCAAAAGTAAAGGCAATCAAAACTATAAGAACATCCAAGGGCCGATACCCTCCTCTCTAGTTCCGAAACGCCCAAAATCCCCTTGACTCAGGCCAGCACTTCAAAGTCCTGTGCCTCACCCTCCCTAGGCCCCACCCTTTCTAGGCGGTGCTTCCTTGGAGCAAGCCTTATAATAAGAGTTCAGGTCTTCTCACTCAACATTCCGAGCCAGCCTGTCATTGGGATACATCTGCTCCCAGATTCTCCTGCAGAAGCCGTCCCTGAACAAAGAACTACAGCGCACACATCCATCACCTGCATTGGACCTTGTTGGGAACCAGCCGCCTTTCATCAATACCAACATGATGAGCGTGAGGCCCTACAGCCCCAGATTCGACCCCCTGTCCTACTGGTCACCCCAGCCAACAGGACTCAGCCCTGACACGCCTGCCAGCCCCGAACCGCTGGTGCAGCAAGAACTGGAGATACCCATCTCTCCCTCCACCAACGACCTCACCTCCGTGATGTTCGTGCCCACTGGCTGCGCCGTGCAGCTGCCCCTGGACGACAACCAACAGCTGCTCCTGGAGCCCGAGCCCACCTCGGTCCTGAAAGTGTCGCTCCAAGGACACACCGTCATCCTGGTTCCTGAGGGCCTCAGCGATTCTGGCCAGACTGGACAGTCCTGGTTCTTGCCCGCCAGCCTGCAGGGGGCCGCTCATCTAGATATGAACCAGGACCCCTTCAGCGTCCAGCCACCATCCTTCAGGGCATCTGCATCAGAGTCCTTGGAAAACCCAGAGGAAGACCCTGAAGATGGCTTCATGATGCCATGGATGAATGCTCCAGCTGGCTTAGCCCCGGGATATCTTTTCTCCTCCACCGGGGTATGTAGCCCCTTGTTTGAGAGCCGAGCCACATCTATCTGGCGTCCTTACCTCTCTTCTAGCTCCGAGAGATATGCTCCATGGTCCATCTGGAGCCTCCGAAGCAGCATGCTGTGGCCTCTCCCCAGCTCACCACTGCAGCCTCTCCCTCCATCTCCTCCAAATCACCAAGATCAGGACCTGCAGAAGTCTCGGAGCCCTTCCCGACCTCGGTGCAAGGCCCAGAGGCGCCTCTTCTAGGTAACAATGGACTTCTTGCCCAACACACTGCATCTTGGACAATTACCAGGCATTGAGCCTGTGTGTACATAGTAGCTTTTGCTGTACAGCTGATACGTTGTTTCTCTCATGTGAATCAAACTTGTATAAAATGTTCAGTCATCATGGAACTAAAGTTTTCATGGAAATAAAATATTACTTGTAAAATTGAAGCCTGTGAGATAGTGTTTTCTTAAAACCTTTACTTTGAGACATCATGGAAAAGTCTTAGAGGTTCACATGGAGAAGGTAAGACATGATCGAAGAATGAAAATAACAAAATCGGAAGCATTATATCTTGTCAGGCTGCCATTCCCACCCAGCTCCCCTCCCTTAATGTAATCTCCTGTGGTCAGACCAGTGGGCCTGAGAGGGAAAGCAAGGCAGGAATGGCTGAGGGGGATGAGACCTCAGGCAGGTGTGGGCTTGCCCAGAAAAGACTCTTCTGGAGACAGGCTTTGGGGAGCAGCAGCAGCTCCTTTAACTGGGGAGAAGTCTCTGGAGAGTTGGAAGAGTGTTTTAGGGTGAGTGCGCATTATTGGCCTCAGACAAGGTGCTGTGTATGTAGGCTTATATTTTTCAAACACCTACTTTATTTAAGGTTCTTAAATGCCGTTAGCTCCCTTCCAACTCTTCCACCTTTGGTAGTTGATTAGTGGGGGAGAGGGCTTGTAGACCTCTTTTTATCTACTTCCTACAGTGAGGGTCAGTGGTTCCTGTGTGATGAACTCACTGTCCCAGATTGAAATGTGGTCCCCAAAACATCAAAGACTGGGTCTCCCTGTCAGAAGGAAACCCCACAGTGAGGGAAATACCAGGTCTGACCTCACAACACACAGCTGATCTCCGGAAAAATTCCTGGGTTCCCACAGGATCCATGCTCTGCTCTGATGCCACTGAGCCGGAGCTCACCTCCCACTGATTACCATTGGGGTACTGGGCACAGAGCTCCAACCTCAGATATACAGAAGCCTTGGGCCCACGGGATCAGCCCCCATACACTGCTTCAAGTCACAACCTGTCTCCCTAGATAAACTGACCAAACTGCAGGGCTCCCTGCTTCTTCAAATGGGCTGTGCCCAGCAAACACAGTGTAAGAGCAGCAGCAGCAGCTCACTAAATTCAGAGCAAGAAACCAAGTGATGGGGCAGCTGTCTCCAGGACTTCTTCTGGTGAGAGGAGAGGCCCCTGACTATCTACAACCCAAGTTACCCCACAGGTGCACACAACTAAGGTGAGCTGTGGCAACTCCCTGGGAAACACTGGCCTTTCTGTGGCCATACACAAAAAGCTGAGGAGGCCCCCTTCAGGAACCACAATCTTCCTGCCAAGAGGATTCTCCCCATCCCGGGGAAGAATCCTAGGGAGAACAGGTATCAGAAACTAACAGCCAACACCTGAGAGAGCTAGATGGGTAGAGGCCAGTGTAAAAGCACAATCAACAAAAGCCAAAGCAATATGGCATCTCCAGAACCCAGTTATCCAGGGGCAAGTAGCCCAGGATGCCCTAACATAAGTTAAATTCAAGATGACCTTACATCTATGCTTATGAAGAGGATAATGGAGGAAACAAATAAAATGCATAAAGAAATAGAAGAAGATGAAGTCAAACAGATTATGGCCATCCATAAAGTAATACAGGAAGATGTAGCCAAATAGTTTATGGCCTTCAGAAAGGAAATAATTAAATCACTGAAATAGAGGAATGTTCTAACAAACAGATAAAGGAATTGAAGGAAAAGCAGGACAATACACTCAGACAGGTGAAGAAAATCAACAAAACAGTTCAAGATCTGAAGATGCAATTGGAAAAATTAAAGAAAACAGAAATGGAGGAAATCATGGAGAGGAAGAACTTAGGGAAGGAAACAGGAACTACAGAGGTAAGCATAACCAACAGACTACAAGACATGGAAGAAAGAATCTCAGGTGTGAAGATACAATGGAAGAAATCCATCTGTTCGTCAAAGAAAATGTTAAATCTAAAATATTCCTGACACAAACCATCCCAGAAATCTAAGACAACATGGAAAGACAAAACCTAAGAATAATAGGAATAGAGGAAAATAAGATTCCATCTCCAAGGCACAGAAAATATTTTCAACAAAACCATAGAAGAAAATTTCCCCAATTTAAAGGAGAAGCATAGAGCATACAAGAGGCCTACAGAATAGCTAATAGATTAGATCAAGAAAGAAAATACTCCTACCACGTAATAATCAAAACAAAAAGTATACAGAACAAAGAAAAAAATACTAAAAGCTGTAAGGGAAAAGGCATCAGAATCACACATGACTTCCCAACAGAGACTATGAAAGCCAGAAGGGCCTGGGTGGATATCAGGCAGATCCTAAGAGAACATAGATGTCACTCCAGACTACTATACCCAGCAAAACTCTCAATCATCATAGATGGAGAAAACAAGATATTAAACAACAAAAACAAATTTAAACTATATCCACCACAAATCCAGCCTTACAGAAGATACTAGAAGGAAAAATACAACCCAAGAATGTTAACTACATTAAGGAAAACACAAGAAATAAATAACCTCAGTATAGCAAAACTAAAAGTAGCCAAGCACACAAACACACTACCACAACCAATATCAAAATAAAAGGCTCTAACAGCCCTTGATTAATCTCTTTGAACATCAATGGACTCAACTTTCCAATAAAAAGACACAGACTATCAGAATGGATGCATAAAAAAGACCCAACAATCTGTTGCATATAAGAAACACACCTAAGACACAAAGATAGACATTACCTCATAGTAAAGGGCTGGAAGAGGGTTTTCCAAGCAAATGGACCCAAGAAGAAAGCAGGAGTAACCATTCTAATATCTAATCAAGTAGACTTTCAACCAAAATTAATCAAAAGAGATAGGGAAAGTCACTTCATTATCATCAATGGAAAATTCCACCAAGAAGACATCACAATTCTGAACATCTATGCCTCAACTACAAGGGCACCCACATTTGTAAAAGAAACACTAATAAAACTTGAACTACAAATAGGCCCCACACATTAAATGTGGGAGACTTCAAAACCTCACTCTCAACAAAGGACATGTCAGCAAAACAGAAACTAAACAAAGAAACGATGACTCTAACAGATGTCATGAATCAAATGGACCTTATAGACATCTACAGAACCTTTCACTCAAACACAAAAGAATGTACCTTCTTCTCAGCACCTCATGGAACCTTCTCCAAAATACACCATATAGTTGGTCACAAAGCAAGCCTCAACAGATACAAGAAGATTGGAATAATCCCTAGTATCCTATCAGACCACAGTGGACTAAAGCTGGACCTCAACAACAACATAAATAGCAAAAACCCTACACACACATGGAAACTGAACACCTCACTACTCAATGACAGCTGTGTCAGAGAAGAAATAAAGAAAGACATTAAAGACTTCCTCGAATTCAATGAAAATGAAGGCACAGCATACCCAACCTTATGGGACACAATGAAAACAGTGCTAAGAGGAAAGTACATAGCTCTAAGTGCCTTCAAGAAGAAATTCAAAACATCTCACAGAAGCAACCTAACAGCTCACCTGAAAGTCCTAGGGAAAAAAAGGAGCAGACACACCCAAGAGGAGTAGATGGCTGGAAATAATCAAACTCAGGGATGAAATCAATAAACTACAAACAAAGAGATCAAGTCAAAGAATCAATGAAACCAAGAGCTGGTTCTTTGAGAAAACCAACAAGCTAGACAAACCCTTAGCCAAACTAACTAAAAGGCAGAGAGACACTTCTAAAATCAACAAAACCAGAAATGAAAAGGGGCACATAACAACAGATACTGAGGAAATCCAAATAATCATTAGGTCTTATTTCAAAAGCCTATAAGCCGCAAAATTTGATAATCTAAATGAAATGGACAATTTTTCTTGTTTGATTCCACTTACCAAAGCTAAATCAAAGCCAGGTTAATAAATTAATTAGTCCTCTATCCCCTGAGGAAATAGAAGCTGTCATTAAAAGTTTCCCATCCAAAAAAAGCCCAGGGCCAGATGGTTTCAGCTCAGGATTCTATCATACCTTCAATAAAGAGCTAACACCAATACTTTTCAAACTATTCCACAAAATACAAACAGAAGGAACATTACCAAACTCATTCTATGAAGCCACACTCACCTTGATACCTAAACCTCACGAAGACCAAACAAAGACCAAACAATTTTAAGCCAGTCTCCCTTGTGAACATTGATGCAAAAATACTCAACAAAACACTCACAAACCAAATGCAAGAACACATCAAAGATATTATCCACTATGACCAAGTAGGCTTCATCCCAGGTATTCAGGGGTGGTTCAATATACAGAAATCCATCAATGTAATTCACTATATAAACAAACGAAAGAAAAAAACACATAATAATCTCCATAGATGCTAAAAAAGCATTTGATAAAATCCAAAACTCATTCATGGTTAAAATCCTGGAGAGATCAGGGATACAAGGCACTTACCTAAACATAATAAAAGCAGTATACAGCAAGGCCATAGCCAACATCAAACTAAACAGAGAGAAATTTAAATCAATCCCACTGAAATCAGGGACAAGGCAATGCTGCCTGCTCTCTCCATATTTAACCAAGTTCTTGAAGTCCTTGCTAGAGCAATAAGACAATTAAAGGAGCTCAAGGGGATTCAAATCATAACAGAAGTCAAAGTATCATTGTTTGCAGGTGATACAATAGTATACATGAGTGACCACAAAAATTCTACCAGGGAACTTCTACAGCTGATAAACACCTTCAGCAAACTGGCTGGATACAAAATTAACTCAAAAAAAAAAAAATCAGTAGCCCTCCTGTATACAAAAGGCAAAATGGGCTGAGAAAGAAATTAGGGAAACAATACCCTTCACAATAACCATAAAAGACATAAAGTACCTTGGTGTAACTCTAACCAAGCAAGTCAAAGATGAAAGAATAGAAGAAGATATCAGAAGAAGGAAAGA